TTGTTTTATATTCTAATTCTTATTAAATGTTGTTAACAGTTTTATAAGAAATCTTGGGAAGAAGCTTTTGCTTTTAACAGCAGTTTAAATGTTGGTGAAGCCCCTGAGTGGCACCCTTATGATATTATGGATGAAGAGCAAACTGGAGGCGTTAACGATTTGTTGAATGAAATCCGAAATTTTTTGGAAGTATTTCAAAGTAAAGTTTTAATACCATCTGAAGAAAATAATAATAATAATTCATAAATTCCTCTACTAATTATTTTCCGAGATTTGGAGATCTTTAAATAAGGAAATGTTTCTACTGTCATCGGGTAATTGAGTTAATGATATCCTTTCAAATTTATTCGTTTTAGATACTTTTTTTTTGTCTTTTTTTTTTTTTTTTTTTTAAAAAAAATAAACTATCTGAATATCTACAGTATAAAGTTATTGGATTATGTATCGATACCCTTTTTTGTCTTTATTATATAATTTTTCCGTTTCTCTATAAAATAACATTGATTTTAAATAGAATATAACCGTAATCAGTGATCACTTTAATTAATATCTAGTTCTAATCAACGTTGGTTTCCAATCAATAGGATGAGTTTCCGGGGTCTAACAAACAATAATTATAAAATAAATAATAAGTACTCAAATTTTTAAAACTATTTGTTGATAAAAGAAAATGAAATATTCGTACCGCGCTAGAATCTTCTTTCCAAATTTTAATGGTTTTATCAGCTTCACATGTAATCAATCTTAGTCCGGTCCGGTCAAAAGTACTAGCGAATATACCAGCTTCAGAATCCAAAGACCCTGGCTGAACCGTTGTTTCCAAAGACTGGAATTTATATGCCGATTTCCAATCCCAAAATGCCATCGATCCATTATCAGCTTTATAAATTTTTTTTTTTTTTTTTTTAGGAAAAAAAATGATTAAAAAAAAAAAAAGGTTCTTTATAATAAAAAAATTTTACTTACCACCAGAGAATAAAACATTATCGGCATTAACAGCCAAAGCGTTAATAATAGCACGATGTCCTTCAAAATTTTGCATAAAAGTTCCCTCAGGACATTTCCATTGTTTAATATTGTCGGCACTACCACTTGCAAAAGTAAATTCTTTCGGATGTATAGCTAAGGCTCTAACGGATTTCTTATGATGAGTGAGTGTTGCAATAGTTTTTCCTGCTGCCAAATCCCAAAGTCTGATAGTTGAATCCATCGATCCTGTAAGTATTTGTGGATCTGCCTCTTGACATTTTACATCTGCTACAGTCGAATTATGTCCACTTAATACATGAATACATTGCTTTGTACGCATATCCCACACTCTTGCGGTAGCATCTCTTCCTGCAGTAGCCAAAATATCTAACGTAGGATGTAAACTCAAAGAATATACACCAGATAAATGACCATGATAATGTCGTATGACCTTATTTTGTTCAAGATCCCAACATTTAACCATTTTATCTTCTCCACAAGAAAATAAATATGGATGTCGCGGCGAAACAGCTAAACCACGAACCGTCGAAATGTGACCTGTAAGGGTAAGTTTCAACGTGCCGGATGCAAGATCCCAAATCTAATAATTAAAAACATTTAAATAAAAAGTTTTAAATTTTTTAATTCGTTCTGTACAAAATATATATCTTTATTACCTTGATAGTTCTATCACCAGCACCCGTCGCAAACCATTTATTTCCCGGTTCTACAGCTACCGAGCGAACCCATCCTAAATGACCACTTATTACTCTCATCAATTTCCAAGGAGCGTGCCAATCCGGACGCTGTGCTCTTGGAGTTTGACGTCTTACCAAAGATCCTGAAGTTGCAAACGGTGTAGCATTGATACCAGCCCTTTGTCTGATAGCTACGACACCATGTGCAGTCTTGGCAGCTTCTTGTCTATATAACATTGAAGTTAATGAATATATGATTATAATTTACAGACATACTAAATCACAACTTACTGAACACGTGAAGGTGGAAGATTATCAACCAATTGTTGTATAGTATTAGTTGAAACTTGTCCTTCAACCGCGTTATCTTCAGAAAGTGATACCCCTAAATAAAATTTTGACTAATGTTAGAGTTTACCTGACAAAAACCAATTTATATAAAATACAATTTAAAGTTAATAACAAGCCTGGTGCAGAAGGAAACGCATGACCTCCAGCGATTTGAGGTAAATGATCATTATTATCCAATTGCATAGTTTCTGAAGTACTATCGATAGCTGGAGTGGAACTGTCTGTTTCTAAAGGTCTTTTCTTTCCTCTACTTTGTTGTGCTAATAAAGAGGCCGGTAACTGTTGAGCATCGCCGTATTCGTCGTTAAGTTTTACCCGTAACTTGATCCGTTGACTAAATTCAAAAAGTGAATAGTGTTAGAAGTTAGATTTTTGTATAAAAGTGGTTAAAAGCTGAATAACCTCTATATATATATGAAAACCTCCACCAGTCATTAAAAACCTTTCGTCATCCTCAAGAAGAAAATTAGGAGTACTAGAGCAGAGTTGAAACATTGCCCTTGTTCGTTTTACAGATCGTTGTAATAATTTCTCCAAGTCTGGAAGCGAATTAGTGGTGATTCGTTCATTTACGATTTGTGTTGAACTGTCAGCCATTTTCGTGATTAAAATAAATTGCATCAAATTTTCGGTTTAAATATGAGCTGAGACGCGGAAGTTTGATTTTATTGGTTGGCCTTATTTATCCTACTACCAAATATTATTATTTGATAAATCTATTAAGCAATTTTAAAACTACAAGTTTTATCTGATTTTAATAAGCAAAAATGATAAAAATAACTTTATCAATTTGATTTTTTTGATAAAAATTATTTAAAATAATAAATTAAAAAGAAAATAACTAATTCACTTATAATTATTTTTATCTAATAATTTAAAACATAAGAATTACTTAATTAAGCTTCTTTTATTTAATAATAAATATATGTTAAATATATTTTATAATACATATTAAAAAAAAGTTTAAAAGTTTATTATATAATTTATATTAATAAAAATATAAAAAATAATATCTTTATAAATAATATTTTATAATTGAATAGTAAATGTTTTAAAATATATTATGATTTTGATTTTTAAAACTAAAAAAAATATTATCAACTACTTTATTATACATATTAGTTATTTTATAAAATGTAATATAAATTCATTATCCTTTAAAATTAATTTTAATATTTATTAATTAATAATTTAATTAAAAATCAATATATCATATTTAATAAAATTTTTAATTTATATATTTTTTTTTAAAGATTTATCTATTATAAATAAACTTAAACTATTTTATTAATATCAAAAGTTAAAAATTTAAATTTATAAAACAAAGTTATAAATCAAAAGTTAATAATAAGCAAGTATATTATAGTATTATTAATAAATTAAAATATTATAATTAAATTATAATAAATAATAATAAAATTTAAATAAATAATAATATTATAAATAAATAATAATAAATAATAATATCATATTATTAATATATTAAAATATTATAATATGAATAAAAATTTTTTAAAAAATAGTAATTAAGTAATATATAATTGTATAAGATATAATTTTTTTAATTATCTTAATTTGGTTGAAATTATAATTTATAATTTATAAATCACAGATTATTATCTTTTTAGTAATAGTTACTTATAAAAATTAAATTAAATTATATTGAAAAATCATATTATTGATATTATTCCTTAAACTGTAAAGTAGATAAATTTGCCTATAATCATAAAAAAATATTAATTTTTTAATAAAATATAAAATATTAATGTTAAAAATATAATTATTA